CTTCACATGGGGCAATGGCACCAGCACGGGCAGCAGCTGGCACCTTGTTGGCCAGCAGCATGTCCCGGATCTCAGTGAGGTCCTCCTTGGTGAACACAAAGCCTACATTCCCCCGGATATGAGGCAACAGTTTCTCCAGAGCTGGGTTGTTTTCCAGATGCCCTCGGATGGCCTTGCGCATCATGGTGTTCTTGCCCATCAGCACCACAGCCTTCCCTCGGAGGGACATGCGGATCTGCTGCATCTGCTTGGAGCCCACGTTGTCTGCGCCCACAATGAAGCATTTTGGGTAGTCATCCAAAAGTTGGATTATCTTAAGAAAGTAGTTGGACTTCCAGGTCGCCCTGTCTTCCCTGGGCATCATGGCGGTGCGTCAGGGATTGCCACGCAGGGTTTAAAGACGATGTCACTCACACGAGAACGCCTGGCGAGAGCTAGTTTATTCTTTATTCAACTGATGTGAGACCATAACAGACATTCTGATTAACTCCATTTCATCTCAATATGTGTTAAAATGTCAATTTATCTAAGAACATTTATTTCAGTAATTATACAGATGAAGATTTAAGATACATAACATAAATATGAAAAACTTACTCTAGCTCGAAGATATCCCAGGTTAGACAATAATAATGGAAATACATGATTCTGTAGAAACAACTCCATTTGGTCTTTGAATAAAATCTTCTGTTAGGAAACAAAAATTAACTTTCAACTTATCAATGTCTTTTTCATATGTAAGAATCACTTCCTAATAAAGTATGTTTATCATGGCTTGCATTTAGTATACTACTATTTACAATTTGTAAAATTATTTGACCTACATATTGCATGTTTTAAAACAAGACAAAAATAATACCTTAGATCAGTTTGATATTGATAGATTTTTAAAGAAATAAGACAAAATATTAAAGTCATTTTGCATCCTTTTTCATATAACAGTTTCATACTGAAAAACTTATAAAGAAAAATCTAATTTTCTCTTTAATTAAAGAAATAGGTGACAGAATGAAGGACGTTTACAGTCAACTCAATTATCCAGAAACAGTCACCAGTTTTAAGTTATCCACAACTTTTACAGTCTCTCCTTTGCCTGTGCGTCACAGTTTTTTGTTTGTTTGTTTGTTTGTTTTTGGAGAAAGCAGTATTTATTGAGAGAACAGAGAAGTCCCCACAATGGGAGGGGACCCTAACAGGTTGGCCCGTTTCACAGTTTTATTGAGTAAATTAAAGTTTGATTATCTTAACCTTCAATAAAATCTCAGCTAGGGAACCAATCACATGCAGTGCTCCATCTTTCTTCCTAGGATCAAAGTTCGGGTCTGTCAAGATTTGATAACAGAATGCCATCATTTTTGGCAACACCTAAAGAAATAGAAGAATCCATTTTAGTCTACATGAACTTTCATTGCCTTACTACAGTATGAAATATGCACAAATGTTCAAGAATAAACCTACTTTATGTTTTATGAAGCAACTATAAGCTCAATAAGAAAGGTACAATTTATTAAGAAAACAAAATAACCAATGCTACTTCACCCTTTTCCCTTACTAGGACAGAAAAAAATCTTAAAGTGACAAGTTGTGACTCATAACAATATAACTTTCCAAATACTAGGGATGTATTAGAGTGTCAAATCAACACAGGTCATCTTTTAGTTTGGGATTTAAAAAGAATTAACTATATACCTCTTTTCTTTTCTTTGCAGCAGTATATAAGAGAGTCTGGGCTGCTGTGGTGGGAGAAGCATAATCTTCAAAAATATCTAAGATTTTAAAAGGTTAAACCATGTTAGTGAAAATATAATTACTTATTATAGATTTTTAACCTGACTGACCACTATTCCAAACTAAGAAATAAAACAGTCTGCATATGATTCTGGTTTATAGCATTAAAAAGCTAAGGATATATCACCAGTGCTCTCATGTGCAACAATATTTATCAAACTCTAGAGGTTGTCCTTTCAAACCATCATATTTTAAAAAACAATATATATATGCATGTGTGTATATATTTATATATATTTAGAAAAACAAAGGCATATGTGTTTCACTGAGGACAGGAGAAGTGCTTTATCTCTATCAAAAAACAACAAAAGTTTATTTGGTGTGCACTATGTGTTAGGTACTATTCTAGACTCTGAAAATACAAAGATCAAACAAAAAGGTTCTCGTGGAGCTTACATGACAGAAAGAAATAACGAATCATACACATATACACACAATAGGTCAGACAAAGAACAATGTAAATCAGGGTAACATAACAGAGTAACAGAGTATGGGGTGCTAGTTTAAATAGGGTGTTCAGGCCGGGCTCGGTGGTTCAGCCTATAATCCCGCACTTTGGGAGG